GCCTAAAGCCCCAGGGATTTAGGACTTAATCTGCTTTCAGCAGCTTTATATTAAACTCTTAGTAAAATCGTGTGTCTGTGCGTGCACACCTGTGCAGAGGGTCCCCACAGGTGCTGCTTGTTCAGCCGAGACACCGACTAGAACACCAGTAAACCCATTCTGTCCCTTTCCATGGAAGTAACACGAAGTCCTCGTGTGCCCTCAGCCTCGGCCACGGTGGCTGGGCGTGGCAGACTCCTAGAGCGAGGGGGCCTGTGGGAGTGAGAGGGACAGAGGCCAGCAGGAGGGAGGAAGACATCCGCTGTGTGCATAGCTGTCCTTGGGCTTCGCTGGGTCCATATCTACTCCTGGGGTCACCTTTGTGGCATTCTGCTCTTGGCAACCTAACAAAAAGCACAATTAATGCACAGGTTTGAAAATTAACCATTATTTCCCCCACTGGTTTGACAATCTGGTAACTTGCAGGCAAGTTCCATTTGGAAAGAAAGCCTGGTCCTTCCCAGAGCAAAGGAAAGCTAAACCAGACACCATCTACTGACTTATGTGTGGGAGCGGATGGGAGGTGCTGCTCAGGTCTGAGTGAGTCCTTCCAGCATTTGCCTGTTTCCTTACCTGCAGAACCAGGAGAGTGCAAAGGAGTATGCCATTGCTATAGTTTTAGTGTTGTAGTGACACAGCTCGCCATTGCTACAGTTTTAGCTTCCTGGTGACACGGCTCGCCATTGCTACAGTTTTAGTGTCCTGGTGACACAGCTAGCCATTGCTACAGTTTTAGTGTCCTGTTGACACTGCTTGCCATTGCTCTTAGTGACACTGCTCGCCATTGCTACAGTTTTGGTGTTTGGGTGATGCTGCTCGGGTCAGGAGGCTGTACTGCCTGCTGGCAGGAGTCTGTCCATCGTGGCATGTTCGGCAGGCGTGTGTGTTCAGGGTGCCAGGCTGACATCTGCAGAGACCAAATGTGAGAGTGGAAAGCCTTCCTGTCGACACTGTTTGAGGTCTGATTCCATGGCCTCGTCTGCACTTTTCCATAATCGTTTCTTTTCCTGTGGTCCCCTCCCCCAAATAATCACCTTTATTCAAGACTAAATGAATTTCTTTCATTTTAGGACCTCATGCTGTAGAGAGTAGCTGAAGAGAAGAGGACTTGAGATGGGAGAGCGGGGATGTGTGTGATCATGTGTTTGACCTGAGACATCTCCAGTTTCCTATGTCGGGGAGATTTGCTCAGTGCTGCTCTAGATCTTGGTGCACAAGCTTAGCTCTTTCCTTGCTAGTGATCTTCTCACACACGTAACTGGGCTTCTCTGTTGGCCATTGCAGGGTAGATGGACACTGGGCTGTGTGTGTGTGTCAGGTACACATGCGAGAGAGTGCATGAACACATGTGTGAGCACAGAGGCCGGAAGAGGATCTCCCATGGCTTGCTCTGTTGCTCTTTTCTTTAATCTTTTGAGACGGGGTCTCTCACTGAACCTGGAGCTAGGTTGGTGGCCAGCAGGTCCCAGTAAGCCTCCTGCCACTGTGGAAGGCTGCAGGGCAAGAGTCCCAGGCGCTGTGGATTGTGGGGATTTGAACTTCATTCCTCCTGTCTATGCAGTAAACGTTTTTTCACACTGAACTCTTTCCCTAGACCCCCACTGGGTTTAGTCTGGAGCTGAGTCCTCAGAGTAAAAGCCTATGTCACACAGCTTCTGGACCCCTTTACTGATGCCGTCAACTGGACTCTCATTCCAGGCTCAAGCCCAGCACAACTGTGGGAGGTGTCGGGATGAACAGGTATGACCGCTCGTTTCGGCTCTCATGAATCCTGTTTTGTTGTGATGGCCATGGTGGGAGTGATACGATATTGTTGTTGTTGTTGCTGCTGCTGCTGCTGCTCCTGCTGGTGGTGAAGGCGGTCGTTTCATGAGTGAGTGTGAGCGTGCCTTGAGAAAGTTGACATATATACTTTGCAGGTTTGGAAAACATAGAGGAAAGAATTTAAGTTACCTCTTAAAGATCAAAAGAAAAAAAAAAGAATGTCATCATCATTACCTTCCTCAAAAACAAAAACAAAAAAACAACAATGCAGTGGAAGCTGCCATGCGTTTATGTGTTTGGGGCCCCTGTGCTGTCTCTTCACAAGGTGGAATCCGACAGTGACTTCTTCTTCTACTTAGGTTTTACACACTTGAAGTTGACTTGAGACTTATGCCCAAATTCAAAATTCTTGTAGTCTTGATTTTTTTGGGGGGATGGGGTCTGGGTAAAACATAACAGTCATGAAAGCTCCTAAGAAAAAAGTTATGGTGTGGGTGGTGCTGAGATGGCTCACTGGATAGAGGTGTGTGCCGCCAAGCTTGGTTACCTGTGTTTGAGCCCCAGAACCCATAAGGTAGAAAGAGAGAATTGATTCCAGCAAGCTATTCTCTGACTTCTACACGTGTCTATGTCCGGTGCACACATACACGCACACACACACAAGAACACACACACGCACACACATGCACACACATGCATACACACACGTATGTACACACACGCACACACATGCATACACACGTGCACACAGTGCACACACATGCACGCACATGCACGCACACATGCACATGTGCACACACACGTGTTTATAAAATTTAAAGAAATGCTATGCTCAGAGAAGAGGGATGGGGGATCCTCTTCTGGCTGAGGTGTATGGTAAACCACTGCAAGATTTACCTACTCACACTACATAAGACAATTGACTAATCGCAGCCACTAACATGTGTAGTTGAACACTGCGGTGGAGCTGCAATACCAGCACTCGATAGGCTGACATGGGCAGAGCATGATTTTAAACTCAGCCTGCATCGCATATGGAGACCCTGTCCCAACCGCTCCCAACCATCCCTTAAAAAACAACAACAACAAACGCAAGAGCGGTCTAAGGCCAGCTTTCCTAGTGGCAGCGATAGGGACCACTCTGGTTTCTTTTTCCCTGGTGGGATGGTGGGACACCTAATGAGCACATTTGTCAACATGCACTCTGGGTGCCGGGCGCACACACATGCTTAGAACACCCTGCCTCGTGAGGAGAGCCAGCCTGTTTTTCCTTCTGGGAAAGTTTTAGGGGATTTAGGAGATGGGAGTTTCTGGGTGGGGCTACTGTTTATGTAGCAGGCAGGCGGCCTTGCTGGTAGGGATCTCGTGGCTCTCCCTGGGAGCCATAATTATCATAATATTCATATTTGCATAATGATTTGCAAGCTAGAACGATATTGTGTGTAGATGGTTTCATTTCCTCCTTACAGCGGCCCTGGGAGATCAGTGAGGGGCCAGCGAGCATCTCCAGCCCTAATTTGTAGAGGCAGGAAGTAGAGGCAAGCCCTGAGCCCTCATGACTCTCCTCCTTAGTCTTTGTGCCATTCCAGAAGACTAAGGAATCCGCTGTGGACTCCCCAGTGGGCAGAGCTTGTGTTGGTAGCCCAAGGCCCCTTTCTCCCTGCCCACAGATCTTCTCGGATGATGTCTGACACACATCAGCCGATGGCTTAGGATGGTTACAGGAAGTGACAGCGACCCCTGGGCTGGGAAGATGGCTCATCCGATAAAGCGTGCCATGTGAGCTGAGAACCTGAGTTGGCCCCCCTGAACCTGTGTCAGATGTGGCAGGGAGCAGTTGTAACCCCAGTACAGGGATGGTGGGGGGTGGACAAACCCTTGGGGTTCACTGGTCAGCCAGCCTAGCCTGCTTGGTGAGCGCCAGGCCAGTGATAGATACTACCTTTTTTTTTTTTTTTCAAGTGAGTGGTGTTGGAGGAAAAGTACTCAAAGTTGTCTTTCACCTTCACACATGTACAAATGTATGTGTGCTGGCACACGTGTGCATGTGTATTCATGAGCACACGTGAGTCAAATCCCCCTCAAGGAAAAGAAATGGAGAGACGTTCACCTCTCCTTGCTTCCACTTTACAGAGCCCCACAACAATTCATTCTGCCTTGTTCACACCTCCATCCTGTGTAGGATGGGACCCACATATCTTTTAGGGTGTAAGAATTATTTCCCAACAGTTCAGGCCGTTCCTGGGTAGACGGTAGCCTGAAAGATGACTCTGTTAAATCTGAAAGACTGTTCCCTTGGTTAGATTCTGTCAGTTTCACGGCAACTTTAAGAAGTCCTCTGGACAGTTTGGACTCTCCACAAGCCAAATGGAGATTTAATAACCCGTCGGTGAGTGTCATAAAGCCAAGCAGAAGGGGGGGGGCGTTGTCTTCTCGCAATCACCACTACAGAGATAAGTCAGGGAGTCCTCTCCAGTTCAGGACTCAGGAAAAGCTCCCTTCTTCTTCCCGTCTGGAATCACCCTCAGAAGAGGACAATTTACGCTAAACTAAAATAAGCACTCATTCCGACCATGGTTGCTCAATTTAAGAGATCCGTGTAAGCCCGAGCAGGTGACATTTGACGGCTTTGTCTCTCGTACCACGTGAATTTTAGTCTCTCTCGAAGGTCAACAGGCGCGGATGCCGAAAGCGTCTCTGGATGCTCGTTGACCTGAGCCACCCAACTCGCATTCAGCAACCACAAAATCTATTTCAGTTCAGGCCCTGTTCCCATTCTGCCCTGTCAGCAGGGAAGAAAGGGGACAATTATTTGGTGATAATTACTCTGACGGCAGTAGTCTCTGGCAGCTGCTGGAGAAGGAGGTAATTGCCTCCTCCCACCCCCTAACCTTTTCCAACGGAGCCCTGAAAACTCGCTAAGAGGGGTTGAAATAACTCTCTGTCCGCTCCCATCACTCAGGCTTTGATGAAACACAATCCATACCTCTTCAGAAACTTGAGATGATGCATGGTAAGGAGGGCTGCAAACGAGGGCCAGGCTGTTCAGATGTCACATGTTGTCATACATTGTTCCGGCCCCCTTATCGCAGTCAGGAGTCTTTCAAGTCTGCTGCGCTGCTAGGCTGGGCTTTCTTCTTGGAGCGGGTGTGTGGGGGTGGTGGGGGTGGTGTAAGGGTGCCTGCCATTGGAGAAAGAGCAGAGGTTTTTTCTTCTGGGAATTTTGAGAGAGGACTTTGGACTGGAAGATATGCGTGTGAATATGGAAAATAAAATACAGACGGATGACAAACGGTGCCACTGATTGATCGTCTTACGATTTAAGGTCTGTCAATGAATGGAAATGAACTCGGGAGAAAGAATGTACTACAGGCCTTCTAAAAAAGTTTTCTGTTTGGTTGGTTGGTTTTGTCCTTTAGCCACAGCTTTCCATGGTGTTTAATTTCTCTCTCCGTAGTAAGATTTGAAGGAAGTGGAGCAGTGTGATTTTTCCGGCTGTTCCTTGAGAGGCAGATCACAATGGGGGCAAACAAGGAGAGCCAAGGAAGATTGCTGGCTCCATAGATGGAGTCTGGTTCACTTTCACTTTTAAATAACCTTGCCTATTCTTATTCATTACACACAGGCTTTCGATGTATTAAAATAAAAAAAAAAAAGTCTGCTAAAAATGTTCTAGCATGGAAGCCTTTCTATCCGTTTAAACTGGTCCATTAAACACCCTAATCACAGACTGTCAGAAGTGTTGAGAAATTCAAAAGGCCCTGGGAGCCCAGCTGAACGTATCTCACGGAAGCCTGAGACCAGCATTTCATTGGTAACCCCTCTTTATGTTTCCCCATCGCTGCCACAAGCCTGCGATTCCCCGCGTCATGCTGGTTGTGATTGCTGGGCGTGTTGTGAAACCCCGCTCCTTTCCTCTCCTGGTCTTTGTCTAGGTCTCAGTTTTACGGACATTGCATAATCTGTTATCCTTGTGCTCTCCAGCCCTCCTCTGCTGTGCTGCTGCTGCTGGGTGAAGGTTAATGAGAACGGCCATAAAGAAAGAGAACAGGACTAAGATGAACTTGCCACCCCACAGGCCTTGTGAGCCCTGAAATACACTGGTAGGCTGTCTGCAGAGGTCACGTGTCTGTGTGGGTACTCTTCACGAGAACGTTTTGTCCCTGCCTGGAGTTCACCTCTGGGTTGTGACTATCAACTTATCTGAGTAGGAATGTTTCAGGAGTCTATCACGCTGTGTGATGCTATTCCTGGGGAGAAACCGACCAGCCTCTACTCACTCCAGATAGGGAGCTACTGACAGGCCACAGTAGGGATGCCACCAAAGTCCAACTTGGTGAATGAATGCGTTTGCTGGGGTTAGTTATAAAAGCGTGAGTCAGGGATTACTTTCCGGAGCAAGAGTGATTCACAGACAACTGAGTCGCCAAGAGCCCACCCCAGTATGAGTGACAGCTGCAGAAGTGGCGGGCCACTTGACAGGTCAGAGAATCTCTCTTCTAGGCAGCGCAGCTGGTCTGGGCTTCTTAAGGGCAGCTTGGTCGGTCTCTCAGTCTCTCTTATGTAACTCAGCTGGTCTGAGAATGCCTCTCAGCAGTCCCTACTGCTTATGTAAGCTAGGGTGGGTGAGGGGGCTACTGCATCTGCTCAGTTTCAGGGACTTTCTAGGGCATCTGAGTTGTTTACTTCCTGAGTATTAAAGAGACTCCTTTAGAATGTAAGAGTTTCCCTGCAGGATGGAAGGTATGTTTCCTACCTATAGAACATCCTGAACCTTAAGGTGTTTCCCACTAAGCCGGAACATTTTATTTTATTTTTTTTTTAAAAAAATTACCGTACAACACTGAACAAAGGCACCTTTTTCTTTCCCTTGTGTGCAATGTTCCAAATCAGTGTTGTTTCTTTCCACTTATTCCTATGGATATGATGGAATGAACCTGCCTGCCCCGACTACCTCAAGCCTGGTACACTAACAGCCCCTTTGGTTTCCAGGGTTCTAAAACAACTCTTCTTAGCAGATCATGACCATATTAATCTCTGGCAAGTCATCTGGTTAGAATGTGAATTCTGGTTTCATTGGTTGGGGGTGTGGTTTGTGACTCTTCCCTTCTCAAAGTTCCTGGGGATGTCAGCCTGGCCCATGGGACACCATGAGCAGTTTTCAGAGATGTTACTCTGAATAGGTCTTCAGCGGGAAAATGTGGGCATCTGGGACTAGTGTAGAACCTTTTGATGTCTAGTCCTCAGCCCTGGACACAGAAATCACACTGTGTTTTGAGAATTATTTTGCTGGGACCATTAGACAACATGAAATCCCCCTCCTTAAAAGAAATCACATTGTGTTTTGAGAATTATTTTGCTGGGACCATTAGACAACATGAAATCCCCCTCCTTAAAAGAAATCACACGGTGTTTTGAGAATTATTTTGCTGGGACCATTAAACAACATGTAACCCCCCCTCCTTAAAAGGTCACAACAATAAACCCAAGTATGACTGTACCAAAGTGCAGCCTGGGAGATCAATACATTTCTTGGGCTTAGTTACAGAGCATGGGTGAGGGGTTGCTTGCAGGAGCAAGGGTGACCTGCAGTTGCCACACAGGAACGTCTTCACTCAGCATGAACGAGAGCTTCTTGATGGCCACATAGGTGGAGCTCTCTCCAGTTAGCCTTTGAACTTGAATTCTAGCACCCGAGAGGCCATGTGTCATTAAGGCAAAACTGTACACAAAGGGCAACAGGTACAGAAGGGAGGATCCAGAATCTTGGCTGAGAGTCACTGTCTCTGCTGACTCATATTCAGAAGGAACATCAGTAGCCCACAATCCTGACCCTAAGGGTCTTTGAAGCAGGCACAGCTGATATGGTGGAATGGTAACTCTTGTAAACCAGGCTCTACAACACACCTTCAAATACTTGAGAAAACTGAGGACAACTGTAGATTTTTAATTTTTTTAAACTATAAGAAACGCACTTATTTTAGATCATATTTCAGACAAGGTCTTATTGCACATTTTAATGGGTTGCTGCATTTAAACATTAAGACATGCCATTTCTTCACACAGATCATCTTCTCCACTTTATTAATTTATTGAGTACGAGGGTTATCAGTCCACAGTACAGACTATCTTACCCAGGAAATACTCATAGCTTGGATGATTAACAATAAGTTCTCTAGGTACTAAGACTGAATCACGAGAATAGGTCTGTGGTTCTCATTGGTTCACACTGTGTGCGATGACGTTCAGTTGGTCCTCTCAGCATCTGGTTACTTCTGGCTATATTGTATTGTCACTGTCTTCTCTTTTGAAAGGGATGGGTATGTTTCATATTTATCCTTTCTGTTTCTTCCCAAATACCGAGTCTGTATCTTTATGAGCATCAGTAGAATCAACTTCTAGCAATTTCATGTTAAACAGAAGAAATCAATCTGATCTACCTTGCCCCCAGGGCTTATGCAAAAGCATGCTCCTTCCTTCCTTCCTTCCTTCCTCCCTTTTTCTCCTCCCTTCCTCTCTCCCTTCCTCCCTTCCTTTCTTCCTTCCTTCTCAGAAACTGATGACTTGGTCTATGGAGAAAGGAGTCACGAAATCTTCCTTTCCATGTCTTTTTAGTCTCTTTTTTTCATGCCCAGGCAGTGCCCAGTGTCCAGCGCTGGCTGTGCACATATGCCGACAGCTGGGTCAGTGCCCAGGAGTTGACTATAGCCTGTAGTAACTATGGAGTAGAGGGTAGGCGGGTCACTGCGGGTGCAGTGAGAGAGGATGCAGGCTGTTCTAGGCTGCTCTAGGCTGTTATTTCTACACCCTAGAGGCTGGAAACGTGGACACTTTAGGCTAGCAGTCAGCAGGAAGGCGAGACCTGAGCTGTTGCCATCGCAAGTGACGGTCTTGAGTGGTTGGAGATCTTGACTTCGGTGAGGTCACCCTCCACCTGAGGAGTCTTCCTTGCAGCAGCTCCATGTGGCTGGCCTACATAGCCCCACCAGCCAGGAAGGACAGCACGGAAAAGAAGCAAAGTAGAAATGGCAGCTCCCCCGGAGGGCTAAGTGGCAAAGCCAAGATTTCAGCTGAAGTCTGTCCGGCTCCAATTCCTTTGAAATCCAGCCCTGCAAAGCATTGTGGGAACTCTTAAGACCAGTTGTAGCCCAAGGTAGACAACAGGATGGCAATCTGGCTCGGAGTCTGATGGCAAATTTGGATCCTGTTACAGTTTGCACTAATATTTTAGAGTCCACATTTGACGAGGAGCGTGCACGCCAGGGGTTGAGAGACTAGAGTCTCTTCAGAATGCCAATTAAGTGTCCTTGAGTTCCCTGTGTGCTGCACAGAACTGGACTTCTCACTGCTGCTACCTGGTCTGTGGCTAGTTAAAATGGTACCTCCTGGGTGGGCGAGGAGCCAAAGATGGTGTTGATGGTACGGCGGCGCTTGATGTTGGAGTCCAGCAGGTCCCCCAGAGGAGGTTTTAGAAGAGATCACAGAAGTCAACTCAGCTTCCTTGGGGCCAAACCACAAATTGCTAAGGTTTCCTTGAAGTCCTGGAATTCCAAAGAGTATCGGCCCACCCAATAGAAGAATGCTGAGCTCGGCAAAACTCTGGAGGGAGACACCAAAGCCACCGAAGGGAATCCTGGCACCAGTTGAACTCCTTCAGGGCTCACATGGAGAACTCGAATGTGCAGGCGCAGGTGCTGCCCACATGGCTACAATTAAACCTCCACCTTAAACAGGGATCAGTGCCGAGTGTGGTTTCCTGGGCCTTGGGTAGGGCTTGAGAGTCTCCACGTGAGGAGAGCTCCCGGCTGAGAGCGAGGCTGCTGCCCATAGACTAGTCAGAGTAGAAAAGATCTCCACGGCTATACCTCCCTCCCTCTTTATCACTCCTCTTCCCCAGCATCCCAGGAGAGACCGTCACTTTGCGACGGTCTTCTTTAAGGAAGCAGGACAGATAGGGAGAGGAACAATGCAGAATCCTCTGAGGAGATTATTTCTAGATGTCTCTCCGCTGCATAGTTTGGGGTGCGAAAGGGTTGGGGAACAAGGACAAAGCTGTGGGACAGCTTGTGGGTAGATAGAGTCTGGAAATGTTTGATAGAAAGCTTAAGGGTTTCTCTGTTTCTCTACTTTTTTATTAGCTTATATATGGGTTACTGCATGTGGTGATGTTTGTATGAGAACTTAGAGAATAAACTGCTTGCAAGGCTTTCTGGAGAGCGTGGCGTTCACTAAGGCCGGCTGTTTCATACACGACCTGGGTAGTCACTGAAGAGAAAGAAGTGTAAATGCGAAATGGCTCTCACTGTGCAAGAGCAGAGTCATTCCGAAATATGCTGACTTAGCAAAGAAGACTCGAGTGGAGGGATGGGCGACCGGCAGCTTCCTACACGTAGAGATGTTGGAGGCAGAGGAGTCATATACACGGATGAGGAAATGTTAAGGGACTAGAGATGTTTGAGATCAACGGGGCAGAGGGTGAGGCAGGAGCTGCTTAGAATGTGCTGGTGTGTGGGAAGCGGTTTGTCACGGGACTCAGTCATGAGGCTGAAAGGGGCAGGAGGAGAAGAAACTGAAGAAGTCAGAGCTGCGTAATTTCTAAGAGATAGTGACCAAGAGTTGTTTCTATCATGTCCACCAGCTGAGCCCTTTTCCTCTGGGGGCCGGACTTGGGTTCCCTCAGGCTACTTTTGCAACTGAGTTGTGGGCCCACGAGCCTGGATTGTGCCTTCTAGAAGTGGCTCTCCTAAATTCTGAAGCAGAACAAAAACAGACACTGGGCAGAGAGGCAGGAGAGTAGTGGTGCTCGGTTTGGTTTCCAGGGCAACAGGGACTCCGGTTCCATGGCAAGCACCCAGTGTCCAGTGCTGACTCTGCGCGTTTGCTGGCGTCTGGGCCAGTGCCCAGGAGTGATGGCGGCAGTCTCTTCCCTGGCCCAGCTCACTTCTGATTTGAGGCTTTGTTCCTGGTGGAGCCTCTAATCCTGGCTCTGCACCATCCTCGAATCTCCAAACTGCAAATGCCTTTTGTAATGTCCCTTTCTTAAATAAACATGCGGAGGTTGCTGGTCTTTGCAGCTTAGAACCTGATGGGCGTAGAGGATGAATGAGAGAGCTTGCGGCTCAGCTTCAGAGAACCACAAAGGATGCTTGTCATCCTGAATCAAAACTCCAGGCTGGGCTAAGAGGTTCATGAAGGAAAGTCTGTACAGTCGGGGTTAGGGTCAAAGACACTGAGTTCAGGTGACAAGAGAAGTAGAGATTTAATGGCAGGGAGTGAGCCCCCTGAAAACACTGGCTAGCTGCTCTTGTCTGCACCTCCCACAATTGTCTTGTGATAACACCATGTGCTACATAATAACATCTTGGTCAGCACCAAACTGGCTGTCTTGGAAGGTGGATAGCAGGCTATTCCGTCTAGACTGAACCCAGGATCTCCTGCATGCTAGGCAAGCATACGATCGCTGAGCTACACCTCGATTTCCCCAGCTGGATTTCTATAAGTACGCTCTGTGAGGTACCCGCAGTGACGAAAATCACCTACGCCTGAATTTCTCAGAGTCTCTCCCAGTCAATAAGCAGTGTGTGGCAGGATTGTTACTCTTATTTTTGTGGCAGGGGAAACTGAGATACAGGAACGGGTCAGATGTACAAGTTGTAAATGTTAGAACTAGAATTCTAAGCAAGAACTGACTCCAGTTATTGCTCCAGCCGGCTGTCTCCAGAAATCAGGCCTACATTTCTCTGTGGTACACGTTCTGTGTGTTGGGCGTGATAATGGTCATGAGTGACAGCTGTCTTTGTGGCGGTTAAGATCTGCTGTCAGAGGTAACTCTTACAGGGTTAAGAGCTATGAGATGAGGACGCGTGGGCGTGAGAGCCTGCCAAGACCCCGTGTGTGCAGAGGGGAGGTGCTTTCTCCTCCGGGGATGTCTGTTTAGCTGAAGCTCCAGAGCTGGCCAGGGGGCAGCCACGTTGGACAGGGAAAGGGAGAGAGTTGTCGTGGCCGGGAGAACCAACATAGGAGCACACACTAAGTGCTCGGTCTGCCTCTTCAGAATCCTGTCAGTACGGTGACTTGGCATTGTGGCTTCACCGGTGGGCCATCTGGTAAGGAAAAATGATGCGAAGACAAAGTTTAGGGTTCTAAAATCACTGTGAAAACCGACAGCCGACCTGTGTTTAGGGGACAGGCAGTCCTGGAGCCACCCGTCTGCTTAGGGCCAGCCTTGCCCTGTCTTGGGAAATAAGCCCCCTCCTGGTTTCTGGATGGAGACCGAGGAGGAGAGCCAGCCGAGAGGCTTGCCTCAGCTGTGACAGCAGTGGAAAAGCAGGCAGTGAGGGCCAAGAGGGCTGGTCTACTCACATGACATTCACTACTCATTTGCACATGGGCTAGTGTCAGCCAATCTGGGCTCCTTGATTTTGGGTCCCAGGACACTGTCCTTTTTTCTCGGCCCCTTTGGGGATTTTCCTTGCCAAGGAAAGGGCATCAGGATGATGCTGGAAATATTATTTCTACCTCTGTAGCAAAAGTCAAGGCTGAGGTAAAAATAAAAATAAAAGACATCAAGGAGCTTTTTAGTGTTTTGTTTTTTGCTCCCCGCCCCTCCCAGAGGATCTCATGTAGCCCAGATTGACCTCAAACTCACCGTGTAGCTGAGGACAGACTTGAACTTCTGGGCCTCCTGTCTCTACCTCTTGATTACTGGGATTATAGGCAAGAATCCACCATGACCAGTTTTTATGGTGCTAGGGACTGAGCCTGGCTAGGGCTTTGTGCTACTAGGCAACCATTCTACCAAGTGGGCTACATCCCGTTCCCCAAATGGATGTTTTAAGAAGCAAAAGGATTTGACCTCTGTCTTTTCGAACCCCACAGGACTGTGATGGCCAAGCTTTAGACTCCCTCTGAGAAGTCTCTCTTGACCATGCCAAAGAGAAGTGAGCCCTTCCTTGCATCTCTAACAACCCGTGGGCCATCGTTGCTGGGACCCAGAGCACAACAATTCTGCACAGCCAACACTCAGGCCCAAGATTCCCACCTCACTGTAGATGAGTTGAGGAGGAACCCCACACCCGGGGCACAAGCATGGCCGATGAGTTTCTGTGAAGCAGGAACTCTCTGAACGTGTTTGTAAACAGTGACCTGAAGATCAATCGTTAGCTAAAGGCACCCCCCTTCCTCATCTTTTTGAGTGTCTATCATGTTTACTTTATATTAGAATATTGTTCTTAGATCCAACAACACGTTATTGAGCCAGTAGGAGAAGAACCCCAAACAGACAGAGCATGGTGACTCTTACATCCTGAACTGTGTCTCTCTTCCTCAAAATGTACAGTTGACATTCTCAAACCCTGCGCCTCCAAGCTTGACTATATTTGGACAAAGGGCCATTAAGGAGGTAAATAGGATTCTGTGTGGTCACTAGGGTGGCCCCCCAGTCTATGTGAGTAGAGTCCTTTTCAGAAAAGGATGACCGAGCTGTGACTCAGTTGGTAGAGCTGGCCTAGCACGAACAAAACCCTGGATTCGGCACTGTGTAAACAGGGTATGGTGGTGCAGGTCTGTGATCCTGGAGGCAGAGGTAGGGGTGTCACAGTTCAAGGGCATCCTTGTCTATTAGTGGATTTGAGGCAATCTAGAATATACGAGACAGTCTCGGGGAGGCGGGGGGGGGGGGTTAGCCAGACTGTGGTGGTGCTTACCTTTAATCCTAGCACTTGGGAGGCAGAGACAGGCTGATCTCTGTGAATTCGAGGCCAGCCTGGTCTGCAAGAGTGAGTTCCAGGACAGCTAGGGCTGTTACAAAGAGAAATTCTGTCTCATAAAAAAAATTAGTTATGACATAGACTAGCAGCTACAGAACAGGGACAGGGAGGGGCCTCAGAAACTAACCCAGTCTGAGTCTTTAATCTGGGACTTTGAGCCTCTGGATAAAATACTTTCTGCTATTAGCTATCCTGCTTGTGGCAGTGGGGTTGTGACAGCCCAGGGGACTAAAGAGTGCTCTGAGCTCATGCACTGATTGGAGTAACCAAGGACAAGCGAGAACCCCATGTAAGCCTTCAGGGAAGCTGAGCAACGCGGACTAGAACTTTTGCCTTCACACTCCAGTTCTGGTTCCCTGAGAGGTCTTAGACAAGTCACTTAACCTCTTGAAGTTTTATTTTCTCATTATGATCACGAGGGAAATGTCTCATTGAACCTGTGGATTTGTGGAGAGAACACCCAAGATAGAACAAGATCATCCTCCATTTGTGGGGATCATTCCCTGACAGTGGAGGGTAGGAAGTCCAGGTTCCTACCTAGGGCCTGAGGTTTTCTGTTGTATCCTTAGGAAGGAAGTATAAATCAACTGGGTTTTTTTTTATGTTTGTTTTTGTGTTTTTTTTTCTTACTTCTCAGATTAAAAGCATTTTGTGAGTTAGCAGACAAAGCAAGACATCCATTTCCCAGTTGCTGTCAAAACAACCCATTGTCATAAATTACCATGACCAACTGCCTTCCCAAAGTTGGGCCTTTGCCATGTGGAATGAGAAACCAATATCCTCAGGATACTCCTAAGAGGGAAAGTTAGGGACAATATCCATACCCTGGTATGCTTGGGTATAAACTCTGGGGTCACTTGTGCCTTGAGCTCCCCACTTAAAGTGTTTGCGGTTCAGTCGCTTATAAAGTGCACCCCACAGTCATTGCCTGTATAAGGCGTTTCTGCAGCCTCCCAGGAGTGCTGGGGTTCAAAGATCCAGACGCGACCAGTACAGCTGAGTTGGCGGGCTCTGAGAGTCATTTCTGCTCCGTGAAGAGACCGTCTAGGCTCTGAGTTTAGGGGACGATAGAAAAGGGAAAAGACAAAGATGCTGCCTTTGGTTCGGGAGCCAGGCTGTGGCTTGAAGGGGCTTTCTGCAGCAGCTGTTGTTTCTGTTTCCGAGGCAACCAGCAGAGAAATAGACGCACCCAGTGCAGGTGCACAGGAGTTGAGCCTGGGCCGGTTTCCTCCAAACAGCCTGGCCAGCCAGAGTTGGCGACCTCGGGCTCCTCCCAGGATGCAGGCTGAAAGTTTCAATGTGTGGACACGGACGTGTGGAAACTCTGAATTCCAGGGGCTGCGGCAGTGCCGGCGTTGTGCCCTCCCTGCTGGCACGGGGGAGCAGAGCGCGACTTGGAAGGCCCTCCAGGGTCTGCCACCTGGCTCTGCTCAACCTTCCTGCCTCTGGTAGCTCCAGCACTAAGCCCACTGAGAAAACTTGTTGCTGGGCCAGACCTGGGACTCACAACTCCCCATCATAGCTCGGAGGACAAACGGGGGATACCAGTGAATATCTCACGGCTCCCCCACCTTGGTGCCTGGCCTTAACCACAAGAGCCCTCCCTCTGGCAGACATGGGTTCAGAACTCAATCCCTGCCCTCACCACTTTCTTCTCCCCACCCCCACTTTCTTATGGACCTTTTGCTCACCCCCCACTGCAGCCAAGACTAAACACGTCCAGCAAGCCCAGCCCAGGACCCTTGCAGTGCCTGTTTCTCTGCCTGGGATGTTCTCCCCTCTGTGTCTTCGCCATCTGTGCCTCGGTCCCCTCAACTGTCTGTCCCTTTTGTGGAGGATTTCCTGAGTGGCTGTGAGAAGTGGCATTCCTAGTCCCCATCACTCTGGTCCCCTGCTCACTCTTTGCTCACGTCTCACATCCTGATGTGTATATTTATCGTATCAAAATGTCAGCCTCAGGGGGCAGGGAGTTTGGTTTCTTCCTGTGAATGTTCCAGTATCTAAAGCTGCTCGGTCAATAATAGTGAACGCTTGCCGCACATAAGTTGAATACACGACTGAATGATTAGGATGGGAGACAGGACATGTTATACTCACATACTTAAATCTACATTAAGTGGATATTTTCACATATTTAGTCATCTCTATATGTGGTTTCTTCAGGGATGTTTCTTGGGAAACTTCTGTTTTGCTTTGCTTCTGGCTATGAGCCTTTTCTGTGACACTTCAGCACTGGGGTGCCTGTCTTGGCCCTACCCATAAGTGATGACAAAACACTCTAGAAGCATCGACTTGGATGTAAGGGTGGGTATGGGGGTCTGTGGAGGCTCTTCCTGAGGGACTTGTTAGTGACAGCCTGCCCTTCCTGAGAGGGCTGTGTTTATATTTATTGAGTGTGGATGATTGAACAGGGTCTGGTAGAAACAGTGGTTCTTGAGATAGGAAGATGGAACGGAAGTAATCAAAATAATTATTATTTGTGGGTCCAAAGTTCCTAGTTGCCCATTGAGAGGCGAGTCAGAGGCACCCTGGGAAGGGAAGCCCCTTCAGTCAGGACATGTGGCCCAGCAGCTTCCTGCCAGATGGTGGTTGTCTCCAGTGACACTCCGGGTCCTTTGTTTTGTCTCTATATCTTTCTTTAAAACACACTATAGAGATAAGAGTTGCTTTTGACTAATGTCAGAAAGTCACAGAATGGGAGACCGTGGAAATGTTGCCAGCAGCCAGAAAGCCCCAGTGTGTAATCTCATCAGAGGACGCACTATGAGTCAGTGGGCCATACGGGCCCAATGTGGAGGCCCCTCAGAACACCTGACAGGAACCCGCGCCTCTGAAACGTGAAAAGAAGCTCCCACCCAATTACGAAGAGGCTGCTAAAAGGAAAGGGAAGGTTTGCACAGCTAACACAACACAGGGTCTGCCAAAATCACTCTGCCCTAATTCTCATGTCAGCAGAGACGCTTCCCTGAAAAGCCAGTGACTCGTGACTTGCTTGATGCTTCCCACCCCTCCTGCCACACACTGCCGTTCCACTCAGGTCCTCTGCCCACAGCACCAACTTTCTGTATTTCTCTGGAAGGGTATTCCCCAGGGCTTGACATCTCAGGAATTCCGTCCAGAGCACAGTGATCTACACTCCGGATGGCCACAAATGTCATATCACTTATCTCGCTCTCGGCCACACTTAGCAACTGCTGGCCCTTAAAGGAGGAGGCAGCTCAGGGCTCTGAGAATTGCTCAGTATGAAGCTGATTTAAGGGTGAGAAACAAACAAGCCCCATCTGATGCCTTTACCCCAGAGAGCGCTCCACATCCTTCCTAGGGCAGGAAGAGCAGGTGACTGGGACACCGAACACTTGGCAAGCTTGTGCCTTTCCTGCCCTGGCATACTTTGCCAGGGGCTTTCATGAACAGACAATGACCTTTGCAAAGCACAATGACCTTTGCAGAGATGGCCAAACCCTGGCAACCCCTCAGCAAGCTCGGATCCAAACAGAGCTCCTTTTGCTTTTCCCGACGGAACTGAACCATCAGGAAGAAGGACTTCTAAAAACAGTCTCTGAAGACTTTGGCCAAGTTTTAGAGCTCCTTCCCTGACCCGTGATGGCAGCATGGGAAACAGTGAAAGGGGATCAAATTGCAGCTTGTATCCCTAACAGGTGCCCTGGTGGAGGTGCTGCGTGCAAGCCTGTGTCTTGAGACAGCAGGGCATTGTGTGTGTGTGTGTGTGTGTGTGTGTGTGTGTGTGTGTGTGTGTGTATGCCAGGGCCACCGCTCTGAGTTCTCTGGTCTGATATATCACATTAAGACCTAAGGATTTGTATTGAGGTCTTTAATCCATCTGGACTTGAGAGTTGTGCATGGGGTTAGCAAGAAACCTGGCACTAGAGAAATTCCCAGGAATCCACAAGGATGACCCCCAGCTAAGAATAGAGGAAAGGGTGCCCGAACTGGCCTTGTCCTGTAGTCAGATCGATGAATATCTTAAATGTGGCCATAGAACCTTCATCCAGCAACTGTTGGAAACAGAGCAAGAGACTCACAGCAGAGCACTGGACTGAGCTCCCAAAGTCCAGCTGAAGAGTGGGAGGAGTGAGAATATAAGCAAAGAGGTCAAGACCATGAAGGGTTCATCAAATGAGACAGTCTACCCGAGTTAATAGGAGCTCATCAATTCCATCAGGACAGGGAAGGAACCAGCATAGGTTCAAACTAGTCCCTCTGAATGTGGTTGACAGTTGCATGACTGGGGCTGACTGAGGGGCCACTGGCAGTGGCACCAGGATTTATCCCTACTGCTTGTACTGGCTATTTGGGAACCTATTCTCTTTGGATAGATAGCTTTCCCAGCATAGATATAGTAGGGAGGGCCTTGGACATTCCCCAAAGCAATGTGCCTTACCTTCTCGAGGAGTGGATGGGGGATGTGGTGGTGGGGGTAGGTGGAGGGGATGGGAGGAGAGGAGGGAGTGGGAACTGAGATTGGTATGTAAAATGAAAAATGATAGTTTGTTTTCTTTTTTAAAAATAATA